TGCACTATATTTTTGACGTCAAGCGCGGTATTATGACGTAACAATGGAGATATTCATGGTTATTCGTGGTACATATGTAATGTAGTTCATGAGAAAATGAACTGCATTTTATTTTGTAAAGAATCATGGGGAAAATTTATTGGAAATGTAAATATATTGGATGGTTTAATGTCTATAGACGACAAGAACCAACTAACACTATATTGTATGACAAACGAAATGCTTCAAGCTTTTCCATCCTCAACTTTCGCTATTTATGTGGTAATATTCCGCCATCACCATGTCTATCAACCAATTCGATACTCAAGGGTATTTCGTAAATTCTATGGTCGTTATAATATGACCTTGTGAATAAATATAACCTATCATGGGGTCGTATTTTGGCGTTACACGTTTTAATTCTTATGTCTTTGTTTTTTTTTTACGGAATATCTTATCTACATGATCAATGAAATATAAGGAGATAACGAACAGTATTCCAGATCAAAGTCCATAAAACAATACAAAACAGGAGCAGAGCAAACACGGACCTCCAAAACATCAGAGGTGGGATCAGGTGCCATGGAGGAGTGAGCATCTCCTGCTGACCGGTCACACCTGTCGTGTGCTCCTTGTCATGATGGGAAATAACGGAAAATCTGTCGTCAATTCAGTGTATAAATATCCCGTTGGCAACAAAACACGCCAATATTTCTGGACAGGGAAAGTTACCAAAAAACTACTTATGCTTTGAAAAGGAGTGTTACCCACTAATATACAAGATAGAACAAATTAGGAAAAGCTAAATCCATTTTCATATCTACATAAAAGGTCATTTAAAAGGGGAAGGGAACAGAAAATAGGACATAGGGTCATGTTCTAACCCCCCCCCCCAAAAAAAAATTATATGAAGCTAAGATCAAAATCTGTTTTAAAATGTGTGAATTGTTCGATTTTTTTTTTACATCTTTACATGCCTAACAATTAACATGTCAGTCGCAATACGACTTAATGATAGGTTATATTTGCTCAGAAGGTCATTATAATGACCATAGAATTTACGAAATGATGGGTTTAAACTAGGTTGTTGGAATCCCTATAACATCTACTTGTCCTGTAAATGGCAGTTTGAAAATTGATCGTATCAAGATCGAGCAAGCTCTTGTGTAGCGAATAAGTTGGGATACATAAACACCATAAGCAGATGATAGTGGAATAAAATCAGACAAATATAAAGAAAGTTGCAATTGACGATGGAAAAGCTGGTTTGCCATACAATTTAGTTGTTAGTTGGCCCTTATCATCATTAGTCAGTAAAACATTTAAAGCAGATGTGGTAGACTTTGTGATGTCTTTGATTTCAAGTTGACTGGGATATATTGAGTCGACATATTTATGAATGAAAATAACTATTATTAGGTGATAAATTAAAAAAACAACCGTCGATATATCTGATTATCGGCCACAGCAAGCGTTTTCCTCTTCTAATGTAAGATATAGTAAAATGCCAATTGATAAATGTTTTAATTTGTAAAAGGAAACTTTAAACGACATAACAACACAATTTACCCCTAAGCAAAAGAGTTTTGTGATTTTCCATAGCATTTCTTAGATATATAAAATTTACCAGCTACTGTTACTTAGGACCGTAAATTCCTAATACTGTAAATGTTTAACTTACATGACCCCTCCCCCTCTTTTTTTTTTAGAAATAGCCTTCTCTTCATATATTTTATAACAAAAAAGATTTATTCAAATTTGCACAAAAATGGATTTTAAGTGAAAAATATTTTTATAGAATAATAAGGATGGTTTCAGAAAAGCTGAATTTTGAACATCACAAAAGGTTTACAATTTCTTTATATCTTAGAAATTTAATATTTGCATCATTTGCAATGAAATTAGGTAAAAAAAATATATATATACCAATCCGGGCATCCATTTTTTGTTTGTATCAACTTTAACATTGTATTTTGCTTGCAAGGAAATGTGGGGATAAGAGGAAATGTTCTTTTCTCCGCCTACCCTTTTTAAAAATTCTTGAATATATGCTAAATTCTTTAAACAATATTGTTGCCAACATATATTTATTCAATCATGCATATAAAATAAGAATCTATAATCAGTTGCAGAGAGTAGTTGGCTGTATGTAGCTGGCTATGAGCAGTTGGCTGTTGTATATGAGTTTCATTATATAAATGAATCAATATGTAAACCAAACTCAGAAAAACAGAAAAGCAATTTAAAAAAAAAACTTGCATCATTTTAAAAATTTAATATCTTTATCATGAAGTATTTAGTATAATAATATCAGTTCTGATTTCATGACTGATAATAAAAATTAATTGATCTCTGATAACTAGTTTGATTATTACTTGTAATTTTTGTTTAAAAAAGAGATATCGTGATTCTATGGTCTTTGAAAGTAGTGAATTTGAATTTAATTACATTTATATTTAATTATATCAAAATTAAAAAGGGTGATATTTCTCCTTTGAAATAATGGGGGGAGTGTCTTAAGTCATATAAAAATTGATATTTAAAGCAGCCCGTCAAAGAAATACACGTATAGATGGAAAGGGAGTAACGGAATTCTTTCTTTTTTTTGATTATGACTTTTAAATAAATTTCGGATTCAAAATTCTATACAGAGCAAGGGAATGAAAAGACCAAATATAAATGACCAGCATGATATTAGTCATTTACAAGAAACAATGATGATATTCTAAAAATAGACCAAATTCATATGACCAACATTAATTAGTCATCTCCAAGATACTATTACAATAATCTGTAAATAAACTGTGTCCTCTGACAAGATATTAGCAACAAATCCCTGGTTTATGTAATAGATACTACTTTATAAAATTAAAATACACGTGTCACAAAATAAACTACATTCGACCACACAAAGGATTAGTCAACTAAAAAATACAATCAGAGAAACATGTCTTCTACAGTAGGTTTAGAAGGCTGCAAACTTTTTCCTCTTATTGATCCAAAATATAGGATTCCAAAGAAAAGCAAGTCCTCCATTAATAAAGAGGATAAGAGACCATGGGAGAAAAAAATACCTAGAATTCAAAAGGAGACCTGCAAGAAGTTTATGACTCCCATTAAGGTAAAAAAAAAATTCTACATTGAAGATTTGTTGAAGATAGACAATTTTGATAAAATAGTAAAAAAAAAAATAGATAAATAGCTTTAATATATTCTTTGAAGTCTTGGATATAATGTTAATTTCTGCAGTCTATAAAAATGCATTTTTATTTAAATTATTTTACAGAAAACATTGAATATTATAAAATTATTCCTTCATTATATCACATTTAATCAATATATTACCAAGATCATTTTATCAATAACAAGGAGATCCTCATGTTTCTGGAGGGGGGGGGGAGGGTTGTTAAAAATTGAAGTTTTAAAAATTTAAATTTAAAAATCGATCTCATTTTTCTTTATATATACAGTTAAAAGAAAAATGAACAGTTTTAATAGAAAATGCAATTTGAAATACCTTTACATAATCAAAAAATATTGAAACCTTCAATGTGTGCAATTTAAGTTTCCTTGAAGATAAAACTGAGTCGGCAGTATATAAATGGAAGCATACAGAAGGCCCCCTGGAAGAATAGTGCGTGCACTAATCGGGCTACCTTCTTTAAATAAAGTATTATTTTTATTATATTATTGTTATTCCAATCACAGAGCATCTTGCTTGTATCTACATTAAATCTATAGTAAATTTGATGTGGTGCAAACGTTTTTTTAGCAAGAGAAATTTTTTTTAACTTTAAAAGGGAAAATCTAATTAACTTGGTATAATTAAAAATTATTCTGTGTATTTACATCTTCTTTACAACAACATAGAAGGTACACGGAATTCATTATTCACAGAAATAATTAATCATATGACCCTTCCACACTATCAAGAGAGAATTAAAACAACTTTTTTTAAATTTGAATTATTAAACACTGGATTTTTTATAATTTTGTTCTTCTATGGGTCTGGAGTCCGCAGACTAGAAATGATAAGTTTAGATGACTTTCTTGTATGGAAATCAAAAAAAATATTATTAACTAAAATTGCTAAAAAATATATTTAGTGAGCAAGTAATATTTTTCCCATGTCCAATCAGAAAACAACATTTGCAAACACCCACGATGCAAAAAAAAAATCAATAATATAACACGTGGGTTTGCATTTTTAATAGAGGAAAAATCAATTCATTAAAAACAGTAACTAAAGTCAGATTAGGTATTCCCCACCTATTTAACATAAGCAAACTAAATTCTTATATCAAATAAATAAAATAAAATCAAGGTGCTATTAAATTACATCTTTACCAGTGTTTTCTTGTACATACCCAACTGATTAGTCGAATAAGCAATATCCAATAAAATAACAGATCGTCTGAAGACATGTTAATATCTATTATCTCAAGAACTATCTAAAAAAAAAAACACAGTGGTATTCACATTACTTCCTAAGTAACACATTTTAAGTACAAGTCAATTCAGAACTCTTTATAAGCAGGGAATCTGTAACCTCTGACATGACAATTCATTGAATTTCATAATGAAATGTCTTCAAAGAGTTATCTCTCTTATCAGAAGGATATTACACCTTAAGTACAAGTCAATTCAGAACTCCTTATAAGCAGAAAAAACTTCACAATATCCTAGACTTTATTTTCTGGAGTTACTCCAGCTGGAATCTGACAAATTGACCTGTTGTGGGGGTTGGGGGGGGGGGGGGGGGGGGGGGGGGGGGGGGGGGGGGGGGGGGGGGGGGGGGGGGGGGGGGGGGGGGGGGGGGGGGGGGGGGGGGGGGGTGGGGGGGGGGGCTTGTACTCAAGTAATTTTGTATTCAGGAGTACTCAGTGCTAAATTAAATCATACAAAAATACCTCAAATGGTTTTTCTAAGATTGCATACTAAGAACATTCTTCAAATTCTTCAGAAAACTAAGCATTCTTTTCGGACCAGTTGCCTGATTTAGAAATATCTTTGCCTGGGTGATCAGGTCGAAAATTCTGTAAATTTCTGATTGCCTCTTAACCTCTTCTGATTGGTCAGGTCACAGATGTCCAGGTTAAATGAAGAATGTCTCTCTCAGTCTGAACAATGGAGAAAATTAAGTTTTCCATCCTGGTCCTACTGGAAAAGGGAGGAAACTAGAAAAGAAACAGGGGAATAAAAAATAGAAATTAATGACAAAAAGGGCTTCAAGTCAAAGTGAAAATATCAGCTGAAAATACATTTTTATGACTTAATCTTTCTTAACACATGTAGAAGACAAAACTGTAGTAAGATGGTTTAATATGCAAAAGTTCTCTCAAATCTACCAGCTTTAAAATAAAAATCTGTGTCACAATCATCAATTTGAAATCTCGCTTGGAGGGAATGAAAAATGTGGAGGAAGCAAATTTCTATTACATGTATTAACCTCTTTACATGAAGCAATCTAGCATTTACTTCTGAAAAATCCACTTAATGATAACTATTCACCTCATAGATATTTATGTATAAGATCTTTTCCTTCCAAAATTTATTTAAAAGTATATCAAAAGATAATAAACTGCTGCCTCCTGATTTTTACCACAGATGTATTGCTAATTGTATGATAATGACATATATCTAGTGAGTGATTTAATTCTGTTTTAACCTTACTTTGTTGACCAGTTCCTGATTCTGATGTAAGTACTGAGCTAGGAACACCCGCGCTATGTTCCGGCTCAGTCTCTCATTCCTGGGTGATATCACGCTTCCTTTCAATACATTTTTCCAATTCTGTCTGTTAACATTAAAATTCATCACAATTATAAAATATTCAAAATAAAATGTTATTTAAATATTTGAAGCAAAATGTATTTGATATCTTAAATAAGGCAAATATTATTTAAGAAATTGATCGAGGACTAAAAACTTCCCACTGAAATATATACATATATACTTGAGCATTGTTTTCATAAGGTGCACATAAAATCTTATTTCCATGAAAAAAAAAAATAGTCAAGCCAGGGATAATCCGTTAAAGGCTGAGAATCCTCCTCCCTCCCCCTCAACATAAACACTTCCTGTAATGTCAACATTTACAAGTTAATAGTACTCACAACTCGGTCCAGTCCATGGCCAGAATCTGTATTATCATCAGAAGGTTCCACGACAGGCCCTCTACTGTACAGGCCAGCTTCCTAAATAAAACACAACAAACTCAACTCAAACAATGTCAAAGACAGTTACTGATTATTAAAGGTGTAAGAACACAGTAATTTTATCATTAGAGGAGAAGTCTAGACAGCACACCTGTGTAGATTGTTTGTTTGTATGACATCCTGTTTCTTCTCTGTATAACTAACATTAAGAGATTTGGCAGCTTCCATCACCACATCTGAGGTAGAAATGATTTTATATTAAGGTATACCCAAAAGATACTGTAAAAGTAACATGTGTGAATTTGAAAATGTAAGCCTAGTCTTTCAATAAATGAAACTCAAGAAACAATACAGTAAGGTACAAATTGGTACAATTTTGCAAATTGAATAAAATAAAACAAATAAAAAGCAGCTGCATCAATGTAATAAGTTATTTGGCCTAATTATCCTAACCATAATCCACAGTGAGGGCATCATTGGGGTTGTCAGGGAGGGTGAATCCATACTCCACCAGCAGGTGGCCGTTGTCATGACTACCATAGGAAATAAACACCTGGCTATACTTCCTGTAGTTATTGTGAGTTCTAATCTCATAACTTCCTGTCTTCTCATTGAAGCCAGCCTCTACCTGATAATTACAAGGGGTTTATATGAGCAACAGAAGGTTGGTTGGTTAGTATGTTGTTTAATGTCCCTCTCGAGAATTTTTCACTTTCATATGGAGATGCTATCATTTGCCAGTGGAGAGCTGCAGAATTTGTCCTATACTTGGCACTCTGGGCGAATAAGCAGTGAGGGATCTTTTTCCTGCCAGCACCTACTGCGACACAGGACCTTGGTTTATTGGTCTTAACCGAAGGACCAATCTCCATGTCCCACTGTGGGATTTGAACCTGCGAACCGAGGATCAAACCCACACTCCACAACTCTTAGCTAGAGCAACGCTCTAACCACTGCATGACATGGGCGACAGCAAAAGAAGGTACTGCCTTCATACACATCCAGACCACAAAATTGTTAAATGTTTACCAAGTTCTATACCAAACCATAATAGTGAAGTTATAGGATGTTGAAATTTAACTGTAATTAGGTTGTTTTTGACATATCACTCAGTAGAGTTACCTGTGCCTCTGTGGAGTGGTTCAGTAGATCAAGGTAAGGAGCCAGTGCCAGGTGATTTCCATCCTCCCTCACAAACTCTGACCTCGCTGAGCGGTAAAAGACTGATCGAGAATTCACACAGAACCACGCCCACAAGAAGTCCTCATACTGTATTGTCTCCCCTGAGTGGAACTCTTTCACTTCACAGTATGCTTGTTTTATGTCGGAGATTCGGGACTCTGCTGCTTTTCTCAATTTCGGTGGAAACAGAGTTAGCTCCCTTGCTGAGAAGTACCCTACGGTTGTGTGAGACTTTGGAAGCGTATCTATGTATGGGTGCCAGTAAGAGTTATCCCCCTTATTCCTTTCACTGAGGAGGAAAAGGGAAAGAAGTTGTTGGCTGGAAAGCTTCAGCTTCTGTCTGAAAATTAAAGTTGTCATGCTGTGGAAACAAACTTTAAAGGTATATACATATATATAACAATCTTTACTTCAATTTCTTGCAAGGTACATGATACTGAGGTCTGACTGTAAATATTCCTAGATATTGATTGTAACACTGAACAAATATTTATTTCGAATGAATGTTTTGCAATATTCTGAGGGATTTACTGTTAAAAATTGTCTTTAAAATTGATATACAGGTATGCTTATATCACTCTTCAAGAACCAAAAAAAAAGCAATGTGTACATGAAATACAATTGTTACAGTAGCAAAATATGCAAACAATACCTTCCTTCCAAGTTTCTCAATACCTTTTGATGAGGTCCCCGATATTAGAAGACAGGACAGTCTCTAGCGTGATGAGAAGATGTTGAGGTATAGACACGATGACGTCCCCGGGACGAAGGGTCTCTCTTGTCATCATTCCTCTCCCAGTGTCTGCCATAAAAATAACAAATTTTTTTTTAATGTAAGGTTACAATATAACGTGTAGCAGTCACCCATCCAGGGTCATACGGGTCCACTGAAGATTTATCTGCCTGCAACAGACATACACTACCACATCACTAGGGAATATTAAAATGACCCATCAACTTCTCAATAGAGAATACCACATCACTAGAAATTTTAAGCTATCTCGATCACTAGCATGACTAGTGAGACAACATATTAATTAAGATTCCTATAAACTGCCCATTATTCAAAAAGAAAGGAAACAAAAAAATATTAGAAACACATTTTTAAGTACCTAAAAAATTCGCTGGATACAACATGCTCCTCCATTTGAAACCATGAGATTTCGATTCTCTTTTCATCCATTTTGACAAACTGACAATTTCTTCAGAACAGTCAATAACGGGCTTATTTGTTCGTTTCTTTCTGCGAGTTCTATTTGTCCTTCCGAGACGCCGCATCGATTAAACTGTTTCATCGGTGAGTGACAGATAGACAGTTCATCCACGTGCTATTTTGTTGTGTCTTGTGCCATGTGTTGTCACAGTTGTGAAAGTGAAACGAAAACTAAAATGTTTTCCTGGAAGAAACCAACATTGGAAAACTGTCACAATTCCGAAAAAAAAATATGATATCGAAATGCAAAAGAACATTGGCATGATAATATTTTATTTTCATTGACATGAATTTAAAATCCTGATTCACAGTCAATTGTTTTTATTATCTAAAATAATTACTTAAATCTGAAAATAGAAAGCAAATATTTATTATTTCGGAAATCTACATTCCGATCGGTTAATATTATAAAACAAACATGGCGGCAAGAGGAATTTTAACTTCCAGGGTTAGTTTTGTTTCTCTGAAAACACAAGGATACATGCCGATTATGTGAACTTTTGTATTGTTTTTTTTAATATCGTTTTGTTTCGTTAATTAATTTTTTTATACTATGGTCAATTTGGTTGCACTAAAGAACTACGCTGAGACCCCCAATCTTTTTCAAAGATCTTGGGAAGATACTAAAGACCTGATATACTAAAGACCTGATATTGACCTGATGAAATAAAAATTACAATAATTTCTCTGTTTCCTGTGTTTAACATTAAGTTTTGGTTTTGCTTATATTTCGGGGTATAGGACAGATATTTAGGCATAATTATTTGTAAAAATATTGGTATATTTATGCGTAATGAGCCATAAACTACGGAAATGGCTTGACCTGATATTTTTTTTATTGACCTGATATTGACCTGATGGAAATAAAAACTTATAAAATCTCCGTGTTTTCTGGTGTTTATCATTATGTTTTGGTTTTGCTTATATTTTTTATATCATAATTATTTGTAAAAATATTGGTATATTTATGCGTAACGAGTCATAAACTACGGAAATGGCTTGACCTGATATTTTTTTTTGCTAGTCGGTACATATCATGTACTTCTCATTTCGTAAAAATCTTATAAAACCCGAGATTTTTATATCAATATGCAGACAAAAGGATGACTTAATACACATTCAAAGACAAAGTCAAGTTTACTGTGCTGTGGAAATGAGATATCAAGTTTCGTTTTCAGAAAATATTTGCTAAAGTATATGCTCTTGTCATGTTCTCATGGGTATAAACGGATTAAAATAATTTGGATTTTTTTATGAATTCATAGGTAGAATGTTCTGTTATTAAAATGTCTTACAAACCCGCTTTAACTTAAGCATAAAGGCCATTCATTCATTGCATTGGCATCGTTACAGTTGTAGAGCATAACTTACAGATAAATTCAAAGTGAGAAAATAAGTTGAATTTCATCTTTATATATTAGGGTAAAGGCTAAGAAACATAGGGACTTAAACAATCTTAGCAAAATTGGGTACTATATACCCAATTTTGCTAAGATTGTCTCAAGTCCCTGTACTAAAAAGGGTTTATTATGATTAATTCAGTATTTTCAGTGCAACTTCTTAATAAAGTCTTTTTGTATATTTGACGTTGTTTTAGGCCAAAAAATATAATAGGGTTGGGTGCAAAAAAATAGGGTAGGTCAGGTAGCAGGAAACTGACTTTTTTTGGCCTTAGACTCAGCAGATTTGTTCCAAATTGCTACATTGCAACTTCGTGTACATGGGACAATTGTTTTTAGACACAGTTAAATTAACCTAATAAACAAATGATAAAAATTGGATACTTTAATTACACTCCTGTATATTGTTATGTCACTTTAAGATTAGATTGCAGTAAAATAATTTTAAATAATACTAGAGCAAAGCTTGTTGCAAAGCAACGAGTAGGTCTTCCGTCCTGTTTGACCGAAGTAACTTTTATTCTAAAACAAAGAGAGAAATGACGTCTCTAATGATTTAAATCTTCCAAATCTATGTTGAAAATTGCAAAAGTAAGCCATTTTTGCTACTTCCTGTATGACCGGATGTGACGTCGACGGACGGAAAAGTAAGTTTTATGTTTCCAGTGACAAATATTTCCCCAAAACATGTCAAAAACGACAAAAATATGCAGTTTCGAACTACTTCCGGTTTGGCCGGAAGCGACGTCACAGGATGATGACATCTGTTCAGTAGATTTTACCAGAGATTTTCAACAACTTTGCTTCTTTGATGTATAACAAATCTCAATACTTTTTGAGATATCTGAAAAAAACTTTTGGCCCCTCTAGATCCCTAAATTTAGGGGTCAGCCCTTTTTCCGAGATATCATTTGAAAGATCTTCTAATTCTGCACAAATTATGTTCTATATATAATCAGAAAATATTTTTAGTTTAGAAGATAAAAAGCAAAATATGAGTATTTTTGGGCTCTTTTAAGCGTTCTAATTTTTGACCCCTATATAGCGCCATTTTGAATAGAGAAATCGAAAAACAAAAACCGATGTTCACAACTTCAATCCTTGTATTACGGTATCTAAAATCAGTAGAATTTCTGCTCCAGCTTTAGCCGTCTCTGAGCCTTTGTCTGGAAACGAAAGCCTATAAATTTTCGTTTAAAGGGAAATAACTCAAAACCAGAAGTGACTTTTTGAAATTTTAGACAGCATTCTGATAGAATTTAGTAACTTCTAGTAACTCTAAAAATTTGATTGAAATCAATTGAGAAATGAATGAGATTAGAGGCTTCAAAGTTGGCGTCTAGGAAGTAGAAGAAAGAAAAAGAATAATAATCTTTACCAACAGAATCAGTAGAAGGTCTTCCGTTGGAAACGGAAGACCTTAATAATGATAGAATTTGTTCCTTGTGTTAGCAATTAAGCAAAACAAACAGGGGCAGGTAAATAAATTCTACGTGTTTACACATTTCGTTCTCCAAACTCCTTCAAATTGTATTGTAAGGTTTATATTTGTTTAATATTAACTTTGATTTCTGTATTAACAGGTGTCTCCTGATTATCTTCACAGTAATTCCACCAGTCACACCTGGGCATTTTCAGCCATTGCAGAAATCATAGGTAAGACCAAGCTAGACCTCAGAGTTAAAATAGGTGGAACTCACAGTGGGTTACTCTTACTAGAACTAAATAAACTCAGAAATCATAGAGCTCAGACTTCAAAAAGTGTATATGACTCAATGACTAAGAAATTAACTCGTTAGTAATGGGCTCAACATGTAGTAACAAAATAATAAGACGTTGCTTTGGTATTTAATTAGTTTCCTTCGGTTATTCTGTTCTGAATGCTTTGCAGACAATGCCTATGACCCGGACGTGAATGCCTCAGAGTTATGGATCGACAAACGAGACATCAATGGAAAGGTGTGTCTGACCTTCACAGACAACGGGAATGGAATGATCCCCGAGAAACTTCACAAAATGCTCAGGTGAGTAGTATTCCCACATGTCACCTAGTCTATGCTCCCACATGTCACCTGACACAAGAGAATGCTCACCTGAAGATTTAATATCCCTCCAAATTTGCTTTTCCTGTGTACCCATGGCCTCCATCGCCCCTGTGTACGTTTTTCCTGCTATATAAAAATAACGGAGCCATCCGCCACCCTATTTTCACAACAAACGTCCATTTTTAAGTGTCAATGATATACTGAATAAAGTGTTCATGACACAAGATGAACTGTTGGAATAATTTTGTCTGTTTAATAAAATCATTTAGTACACAGCGGTCGTTGTCCCGATAATGATATTAATTTGATGATCTCTGTTTTTAAAAACAATGCAAAGTTTGCTTAAAAAATAATTATAAGTCAGAAATTGTGAACGTTTCATTAACAATGATGTCATAAACAATTAATTTATAAACCTGATCTATTACTTTTGGTTTCCAAATTTGCTTTTCCTGTGTAGGTATTATCAAATAAGTTTATATATACTGTATATGTAATAATATGCAGCTAACTGGTATTTCTAAGAACGATAACTCTACGTCTTACATTCATCGCCAAATTCGTTATACCGCCATGATTTCTAAATTACAAAAGGTGGCGGTTTATCGAGAATTAACTGTAGGTATAAGTAAACTGTATACAGTGGACATTCAGATATCCGGACGCCAGATATACAGATACTTCAGTATCCAGACGATTTTTCATTGGAACAGAATTTTTTAATGTTATTGTATCTTGTTTAAATGGTAATTCAGATATCCGGACGCTTCACATATCCGGACAAATTGACTAGGAACCAAAGCGTCCGGATAAATGAGGCTCCACTGTATATAGAGGCACTGGTAGCTTATATCAGATTTTAACTTAAAAATATGATTATATTTTTTTCTGGAGTTTTATCGTGACTTGTGTTTATGTATTTTAACTTACAATATGATGATATTTTTTTCTGTAGTTTTATCGTAACTTGTGTTTATGTATTTTAACTTACAATATAATTATATTTTTTTCTGTAGTTTTATCATGACTTGTGTTTATGTATTTTAACTTACAATATGATTATATTTTTTTCTGTAGTTTTATCATGACTTGTGTTTATGTATTTTAACTTACAATATGAATATATTATTTTCTGTAGTTTTGGCTACTGTGAAAAGGTAGCTGTGGGAAACCATCAACCCATTGGTCACTACGGTAACGGCTTTAAGTCGGGCAGCATGCGTCTGGGGAAGGATGCCATTGTTTTCAGTCGGCGAGCGGACGTGATGAGTGTGGGACTTCTGTCTCAGACATATCTCAAGGCCATCAAGGCAGAGACAGTACTAGTACCAATCATCTCATGGAATCTCCCCAATAGTATCCTTCTGTTTTGTTTATTTAGTTATTTATTTAAAATCACTTCTTAGTTTTCACAGATTTCCTCCATTTAAACTGATCACTGATATAAGTCTTGTCTTTAAACAAATTTGAGTAGTTCCTTAATTTCCTCCCAGAAACCAGAAGGACTTCCCCAGAAACTAAAAATAATCTGTCAGCTATATGTTCTCACTCCATCTTTAAAGATGAGAAAGAACTACTGAGTGAGCTAGACTCCCTTGAGAAATTCAGGACCGGGACAAGAATCATAATTTACAATCTCACAAAGTAAGGATTGTGTTTCAAAGAATCAATATCTACAACCTCAAAGTAATACTTATATCTCAAGTTCTCCTATTGTGATGTGGAAAATAGAAACTTGTATACAGCATACATCTGACACTATTTATAAACCAGATGTGATACAAATATAATCAAGTCACTATTCAAGTGTTCAAACTATTGATATGAAGTTTGATGAAGTTTTTTTTTCTATCTAACATGTTATTAATTATCTTGAAGGAACAACAACTCTGGGAATTTGGAGCTGGATTTTCTCAGTGATCCACTGGACATCAGGAATCCAGAGTCCCATCTCATCGACTACTCCACGATTAACAGGACTATCCATGATAAAAGTCCGGAGTATAAAGTCTCCCTGAGGGTAGGTCACTATATATCTCATCCACAATTAACAGGACAATCCGTGACAAAAGTCCCGAGTATAAAGTCTCTCTCAGGGTAGGTCACTATGACATACAGGGTCAGCCACAGTCAGCTATAAGAAAAGCCTTTAAGAGAAATAAAACAAACACTTTTAGCTTCAGACCTTGTCAATTAAATTTTCCATTGTTTTTCCAGAAAGTGTGGCATAATTTCTACAGAAGGAAGTAAGTGCCTAATTTTCAATGTTTTATTTTCCAGGCGTACTGCAGCATTTTGTACTTGAAGCCGAGGATGAAGATTGTTCTGCGAGGGAAGAAGGTGAAAACAAAAATGATCAGTAAAAGTTTGTCTGAAACGGAGACCGACGTCTATAAACCGACATGGATTGTATCCTTCTGTTGATATAAAGTCGTATTCACTATTTTAAGAACAATTTTACTGTTACATGTATTTTTATTCACAAATATTTATGACATATATGGTGTCAAAATTCAAGGAAATGAACATGATGAACATACATTTATTTAGAAAACGTTTATTTTTATAATTTAGTTAACATATATCATAACATAGAATGAACTTTAAAATTTGTTTTTCTCTCTCCTAAAGCTCTATAATTAGTGTAGTGATTTATAAACATCCTTAACAATTTTGTCAGAATAAACCAATAGTGATTAAGTTTGGGTTTACGTCTAGTAAAAACCCAGAGGATTATGGGATAATGTTGTACCATAAAAACCGACTGATTCGGGCTTACGAAAAAGTAGGATGTCAAAAGCAGGTACTGTTCTTCAATTATACGTTTAAATTCATATTATCATTGTCTTTCTTCAGTAATGCATAGAAAAAGAGAACATTCTAATAAGTACCAAATAAATGAATTTGTGATGATGTTTTAGGCTAACGAGCTTGGTGTGGGAATTGTGGGTGTGGCTGAAGCTTTCTTCTTGACACCAACCCACAACAAACAGGACTTCAGCCGCGACGAAAAGTATAAGTAAGTAACATATCATACAAATATAGCATACAAAGATTGAATCTTATGAGTAACACATAAGTGAATCAACGATTTAAACCAAGAATATACAGTTAATTCTCGATAAACCGCCACCTTTTGTAATTCAGAAATCATGGCGGTATAACGAATTTGGCGATGAATTGAATTTCCCATCTTCTTAAAAACAAGAAGTAGAGTTACCGTTCTTAGAAATACCATTTAGCGATTCTATTCTTATTATTATATGTATATAAAACATATTTCTGATTGAAAATACTTCAAGTAATTTTTTTTTAATGTACAATTTCGCAACAAAAAAAAAAAAAGTGCAGTTAGGAAATAAAGACAAGTACATGGGTGTGCATTCAATTCTGCAGTTCTGCTATTGAAAAAAAAAAAACATGCTGGGTCGATCGTCGTGATATATTGCCGATAGTAAGTAAAATGAATTCTTGGATAAATGTATTGTTTATGGCAACATTGTTAATTAAACATTCACAATTTATACCGTATAATAATTTTTCAGCAAACTTTGCGGCATTTTTTAAGGCAGGGATCATCTAAATATTATAGTTATTGACGTACTTTAAAAACGACCGCTTTCGTGGCAAAACTGACTAAATGAATTTTATTAAACAGAAAACAAAATTATTATAACAATTCATGTTAAAATTATTGTTTATTTAGTCCTTGTTTAATTACTTAATTGCATTACCTTGCCTGCCTTTGCATGCTTTACAACAGGGATAGTGTCAACCAATTAGCCGCGCTTCACTGACCACACACACCTGTGGCGGTTTATCGAGATAATTGACACTTAAAAATGGACGTTTGTTGTGAAAACAGGGTGGCGGATGGCGGTATGCGAATTTGGCGTTATAAAGAGAATTTTATATAGCAGGAAGAACGTTCTTGGGAAATCATGGCGGTATTGCGAAAATGGCGATGAATCGAGTGGCGATAATTTGAGAATTGACTGTAAATGTTTATAAGTAATAGTTAAGGTCAAAGATTGCAGTGTTTTATTTTTGCTAGGTAATCGAAGATGAATTCTAAAGTGAGCTTTAGAAATGAAATTTATTCAAGCTAAAGGCCATACTTTTTCATGTCAAATGTCAAGAAGATTGATTAAAGAAATATCATTTGTCTCATTTGATGAAGAATGGGATGTGTGATACAGGTGAGCATTGTAACCCATGGGCCTCTTCTCAGCAATTTAATTCCATTTCAGTGCCTTTATGACAAATGTGGGAATCAAACTGAATGATTACTGGAATGAGAAGAGAGGGGCCGCCAATAACACAGCATCCTCATCAAAGAACAAGTAAGTCTGGAGAGTTAGTGCTGTAAACAATAAGTAAGCAGGTCTAATACAACAAAGATGTAAGAAAGTGGGGTATCAATTCCATGAACAATTAAATTAGGGGCCCATTACCATCAATAAGAAATTTAGAGGAGCCTGATACTTTAAATAATTAATTTGGGGGACAAATGCTATAAAGTAAGTAAGGGGACTCCAGTGCCATAAGTAAATAATTGGGGCCCCCTCAGAGGCCTAGTCTTTAGGACAACCCTCAGGTTATATCCAAATCAGCTCAGATTGTTGATACTATAGGTATTTAAATAGGTCATAATTGATTATGGGCCCAGTGTGATTGATTTATATTTATTTATTATATTTATAGTATTGAAGCTCCTTATTAGATGTGGGCCAAGTGTGATCGATTTTTGCTAATATTTATAGAGTAAAAGCTCCTGATTGGCTTTGGGTACTAGCTCCAGATTGGTTATCAGCATAGTGTGATTTATTTTTAGCTCACCTGAGCCAAAGGCTCAAGTGAGCTTTTCTGATCACAATTTGTCCGTTGTCTGTCGTTGTCGTTGTAGTCGTCATTGTCGTCGTCGTTGTTGTTCTAAACTTTTCACATTTTCATCTTCTTCTCAAGAACCACTGGGCCAATTTCAACCAAACTTGCCATAAAGTATCCTTAGGTGAAGGGGATTCAGGTTTGTTCAAATGAAGGGCCACGCTCTTTTCCAAGGGGAGATAATTATGAATTAGAGAAAAATTAATGGCATTTTTAAAAATCTTCTTCTCAAGAACCACTGGGCCAAGAAAGATGAAACTCATGTAGAATCATCCTCAGGTAGTGTAGATTCAAGTTTGTTCAAATCATGACCCCCGGGGGTAGGGTGGGGCCAAAATGGCCGATCAAAGTTTTACATAGGAATATATAGGAAAACCTTTTGAAATCCTCTTCTCAAGAACCACTGGGGCCAGGAAAGATGAAATTCATGTGGAATCATCACTAGGTAGTGTAGATTCAAGTTTATTCAAATCATGGCCCCTGGGGGTAGGGTGGGTCCAAAATGGCAGATAAAAATTTTACATAGGAATATATAGGAAAACCTTTTAAAATCCTCTTTTTCAAGAACTTCAAATCCATGCTTAGTGATATTTTTATGGAATCATCCTCAGGTAGCGTAGATTCATGTTTGTTCAAACCATGACCCCCTAGGAGATTAAAATTCAAGCCCCCCCCCCCTAAACTCAGTAAACTTTCAGTTTGGATCTGATATGTGCTTTTTCCTAGCAAATTGCTCAGGTGAGCAATGTGGCCCCTTGGCCTCTTGTTGTTACTATTTATAGAGTGCTAACTCCTGATTAGCTGTGGTCCCAGTACGATTGATTTTGTAACTATTTATAGAGAATTAGCTCCTGATTGGCTTTCGGTCCAGTGTGATTGATTTTTGTTACTATTTATAGAGTACTTGCTCTTGATTGGCTGTTTAATATAGTGTGATTGATTTTTGTAACTATTTACAGAGTACTAGCTCCAGATTGGCTATTAGCATAGTGTGATTGATTTTTGTTACTATTTATAGATTACTAGCCTCTGATTGGCTGTGGGCCTTGTGTGAATTATTTTTGTTATTATTTATAGAGTGCTAGCTCCTGATTGGCTCTGGGCCCAGTGTGATAACTGTTTACAGTGGAGGAGATTACCTGGAGGCTTCAGACAGGAGGATCTTCCTGACAAGTGGTACTGCCACATGAACCCTGATGCCGCCTTCAAGTAAGTTAACTAGGAATTCCTCTCTATCATAATGAAATCTATCTGACAAGTGGTACTGCCACATGAACCCCGACGCCGCCTTCAAGTAAGTCATCTAGGAATTCCTCTCTTTCATTATAAAATCTCTCTGACAAGTGGTACTGCCACATGAACCCTGACGCCGCCTTCAAGTAAGTCATGTAGGACTACTGTATCTTACAAACAATGGTTAAAAAAGCTAGAAACAATATGTCTTGGTTGTATGGTTGTACATATTTGTTATTAATGAATACTCTTATTTTTAGTCGCTGTGAAATTCCTGAAGAACCAGAGGACGAAGATGAAGCTTTGATGGGACCCAGCTACAAAAAGACATTTAAAAAGCAGCAGTGAGTAAATGTGTGATTGGTCAGCTAAATAAATTTGTTTCCTTCGGTATAGAAGACATCAATCTATTAATTCTTATCTTCTTTCTTGTTTTGCAGGTCTGAACTCAAGTTGAAAATCAAGCTGCAGGAGGTAAGGTCAAAAGGTCAAATTCTTGAAAAAAAATCATTAAAAGAGTGGTCAGTTGATTGCCAATTAAGAACAACATTTACAGGAATGTAGTAGGGACATTTTATTTTATTATTAACAAATGAAACATATATGTATGATAAAGATTTGAAGTTAGGAAAATATGGGGGGGGGGTTGGATAGTGATTTTGTATCATTACAATATCCATTATTTTTGATGGTTGCTTATTTCTTCACAACTTTTATTTTTCAGAGACAGAAAGTGATTCAACTTTCAGAGAAGGAAAAACAGCTCCAGAGAAAGGAAATGGAAATAAACCAACGCAAAAAATCTGAAGTGAGTTTGCGTAATTGTTGCTTTTTAGATCCTGCTATTGATTTGCAGAATTATGAGATATTTCAGGATCATGCATAAAATGCCAAATATCTGTATCATATAGGATGTCTTGTAAACATTATATAGCATGTAATTACTAAAGGAGATATTTTGTTTATTGTAGTCGTTCAGTCCTATAGTGGAGAAGCTGAAGAAACTCGAAGAGAAGGCGGCCAAACAAGAGAAGATGATTGAGGCACTCCACAGGGAGAGGCTTCAACAGGAAGCCGCGAGTCGACAGATGCTGGACGCCGCAGAGAATCTTAATCTTGTCAACCTGAGACAGAGTGTGAGTAGTGTTTGTGTTAGAGCTACACCCTGCTCTTTATTGACATGTATTCCAGTAAAACTCCCAGGAAATTCATTATTTATATCAATTTTTATGTTTTCCTCAGAAGTGGTACCATGTTTGTCATGTTTGAGAGTTTACTAAATTTATCTTTCTCACAATCTATAACTGAAAATCAAGAAGACAATTGTATGCTACTATGGAGGAAAGATATTGATTATTTATTTCCTGAACAGGAGCTCCTGGACAAAGTGGCCCGAGGAGCAGATATCAGGTCCTCAGCTTCCTCAGCCTCAAGGTACAGACATCCTTAATTAATTAATTGCTGTAAAAAAGAAATTATAAACAATTAATGATCAGGCATTCAGATCCTCATTATCATTTCATTTAAGATGGTACAAACATCCTTAAATTAAATGATTAAGAAAAGGGATATATATTTTGATTCAGCTATCCTTAAAGTCCACAAAATGTGAATACACACAATGAATAATACATACTGCAGACAGGGGTACTTACGCCCTGTGTTATTTTCTAACAATTTTTCCCTGTTTTAAATTTGCCCATTAAAAGTTCTGTTTAAGAATTTATGCTGTACTTTTTTTATTCGCCCCATTGATGACAAGGGCAAAAGGAGCAAAAATAAAATGGGGGTGATATTTTCCCTGTATACAGTAAAAGTTACTTAAGGCATTGTATTCTTCGATGACAATGAACAGACTGAGAATTACAGGGAAAACATTAAAGATGGAAACCAACACATTTTGAATATTTGATTAAGCAAATGTTAATGAGATATTTAAGTAAGTCTTTTATTTGTATGAGCAGGAAGAGGAAACATTCCGGTAACAGTATTTGTATAAAGACGGAGGACGGGAGCGTGGTGGAGGTCATACGTAACCCTGACCACGACGACAGAGTGGTGGATCTAACCGAAGACTCGGACGAGGAGCGGGAGGGGGCTCCGACGTCCTCAAAACAGTCCAAAGGAGAGGATCCAAAGTCTGCTCCCAATAAGGGGGATAACTCCAAATCATCCACAAAAACAAACAGTAGAGACAATAAAGCCAGTGCTTCCAGTGACCAGGGAGAGGATGTGAAGCCTAACATTGATAAACTGAAGGAGCAGATCAACAAGTTGCGGACATTTAAAGAGCGGGGGGTACAGACAGAGGAGAAGGGGGAATCGAAGGAGGAGAAGAGTTACAAGGAACGCCTACACACCTTCCAGAAAAACGTCCACGAGCTGCTGAGGAGGATTGATCCCAGTAAAGAGTGGGGCGGACCCGAGAAAATAGAGGGCGTTATCGTGCAGATGATGAAACACATCGAACCTAATGGGGAGGAAAATGACTCGGATTGACGCGTAGATGTTTGTGGATGGGAGAGTGTGGAGACAGATGCCTGATCCAAACAGGGACTCGGATTAAGCTTAGATAAGGTGGATCTAAGATATCTGTGTTACAACCAATGGTGACTCAGAATAAAGATTCCCTGGTAGATAATACTAAGGACAGAAGAGGGGCAGTAGTTTGCTCTGCTGATGAAACAGTCAAACTTATTGGTTTAGATACATATGCAAATTGAACTTGTGGGTGAAAGAGAGATGTACATGCATTAAGAAAACATTAGGAGGATTGAGAAAACTGATACATATGATCAAATATAAATACCCAAGGGGATTTTCATTGTTTTTAATCCTATTCATTGTTTTTAATCCTATTTTTTTATTTACCAGAATTTGGTTTAAGATACAACTTTGAGATTACTGTAGAAGTACTTTTTTTCGCATGGTATTATTTTACGCTATGTAAGCGGTCACAAATTTTCCACGGAAATTTGTCCAAGCGTACTTAATATTAATGTAAGGCATACATGTATAGTGACAGTTTAAGAAATCCGCATAATTTTCTACCCGCGGATTAAACAGAAATTGTGATTCTGCGGAATTATGACCCCGTGGAATAAAGTACGTCTACAGTACTTATATTAATAACTGCCGCACAATTAGTACCATTATTAAAACTGACAGCGAGTCAGATATTCATTTTTTTAAAATGATTTTAGCAAAATTCCTTGTACATATGTATATATATATATAGTAGTACTGTATGAAATGTTAACAATTTCTACTTGTGAGCATAAAGGGGTGTATCAGATTTATTTGTTGCCTTTTAAATGTCAGAGTCGAGAACAGATTTTACAATGATGTGAAGAACTGAAAATATAATTCTCAGGGAGTCGAGATACACAGTATCCAATATACCTTGTAAGAATGAGTGTATTTTTTTATGTTTTATACATTGTATTACCAATATTCCATTCAATAACCCACATATAAATTCTTCCCTTTTATCATATATACAGAAAAATTTGTCTGCATTTATAGTTATCTGCAACCTACATTAAAATTCCAGCAAGTACTTGATGAAGTAAGCAGATACAGTAATATTTACAGAATTATGAAATGTGCTCACATTTCCTACAATTATTGTTGACAGCCTCTTCATCTTAAACTACTAATGTGTGCACATTCTTTTGTTTAAATTACAAAACATTGACTCTGATTTGCTATGTCTTGAAACATTATACTATAGCAGTCCCATTTTTAAGCATGAATTGTTATTTTCAGTACAAGTAATTGAGCTTGAGTTATCTGAAATGTGGTGTTACTTTTGTGTACTTGGATCATACCCCAAGATATATGTACATTTTCACATCATTTTATTTTGTGGAGGTTTCATTTTATTTAATACAAGTACCTTTATAGCAATGTATTTTCAATCAAAGAAAATTTGCCTTTTTCTCCTTTATATCTTTCGTAGTGAAAGGATTGTGCATAAATTTTCATTCAAGGAATTTGTACAATAACATAATACTTATAACTGATGCAAAAACAGAATCTTGCCAATATGTTTTCATAAACTCAATTTTTTTTGAGAGTTTATTGTGTGTGTGTGAGAGATAAAGATTTAATTTCTTGAGTTGAGCATTGAGCAAGTTTTTTTATGCAGTTTGGTCACAATTTCTTTATGCATTTCATTGGTGTATTTGTAAATTTATAGAAGAATGTTATATATTTAGCAGTATTCTTGACCAACTTACATATGGCAAATTCTGTTTTGTTCGATTCAAATTATTTTGATAGAGCTACATTTGTTTAAAATTATTTAAAGGAAACGAAAATACTTATTTGCAAGAGAATTGTGCTAAATATTATAAGGTTGACTATATTTCTAGTCATAAAACAGCTTGTCACCCACAACAGAATGTAGGTTATTGGGAGATTGTGCATCTTTTTCATCTCCATCATAAAATATTTATTCTAGCTACCCCAGAAAAGCTAGTCATGTGATACCATCTAGATTTGTACTTGTTCCTCAAGTTCACATAAATACATGTATCCTTGTATAGTCAGTCTTTAATACATGTTTTGTATTTTGTAGGAAATTTAGAATGGTTTAGAATCATGATATAATTGTATGACCCCGCTTTAATAAGTTTTAAATACACCAAGCATTTTTTGCTAACTTTTTGTTAATTAATGTATTGCTGTACATAATAATTTCAAGTTTATATGTTTGAATATATGCAAACTTGATTTGTAAAGAAAATATGATAGTGATACAGAGTGTATATCATAATATTAATATAACTGTGGAATCATTTAATGTCGTCGGGGTCAAAGGTCATTATTTATGAAATATGGGCAAGCAAAATTTAAATCACTTCATGAGGACTTAATTTTGTGGCAAACAGAAAATTCAATTTGACAAAAAGGGGATTTAAATTTTTGGGTGACGATGACCTACAAAATCTTCTAACACTAATCCCTGACAAGCGATGATTGCATAGCATCTGAGCTTAAAGAGTTCACTCTTAATTTGGTTGAAGGTTTTGGTACTACATGTATATTATAAAGATGTTATTATAAAAATTACATATTTTCTATTGTTTAGTGTTAAGAGATCTTTGAATACAGATCCTCAATGAATTATTAAAATTTCTAACTCAGTTAATGCAAGTTTGTCTAGAATCATCCATTTTTTTTTTTGACTTCAGATTAATCAAAGATGGTAGAATTTTGGATTGTCTGTTATGTATTACTTGTATATATGTATATATACACTGTACAGCACTGAGATGATGCACACTGAGATGTGAAATTTTATTTTCATTGTTACAAGCATATTATAGAGTTGTTACATGATCAATTAAAGCCTTTTAATACCAAACTTTGTGTTCATGAGTAAGGAATTGCAGCAACACATGAGCATGATATGGCAAGCTGAATGCTTATACATGTAGATGAAAAGAGTTGAATTCTTTGAGACCCTTTAAACTACATGAAGATACATCAACAAATTATGTTGGATATTCTTTGTTAATAGTTTGACCTTGAGGTAGCTAGCCAAACTCAATTAAAACCTTGCAGTTGGCATTAACTTTGCAGAAATGATCATCTTGGGTGAAGGCTATGAGATATTTTAACTCTGTAATCTATATTCGGTATTTCTCCATTGGAGTCAGGTGTAAAATGGATATAATTTTACCTTTTTAGCTCACCTCGACGAAGTGTCTCTTGTTAAAATGACCTTAAAGTTAGCTCAAGACATAACCTCAAGTCACAATGAAATATGATAACCAACAGTATTTAAGCTCAGAATTCATTTGAATTGATACAAATTGAGAGCACAGCAAACAAAAAGCTCTAAAAATGTCAGAGGTGGGATCAGGTGCCATGGAGGAGTGAGCATCCCCTGTTGACTGGTCAGACCTGCTATATGTGCTCCTTGTCATGATCAGGCAAGTGGCAATATCTGTTAAAGCAGTCAAATGAAAAATGTCGGTCAATTCTTGATTTAACAATATCATTTTACTTGCTGACAAGGTCTTTGTATCAACCATAGAATTTGCGAAATGATGCTTTGAGACTTGATATCATGTATCATCAACTTATTTGATGTATCATCAACTTATTTGTCAATACCTTGTCCATTTTAGAAATTGTTTGTATGCAGAGCAATTTCTTGCATATAAAATCAAACAAAAGTGTTTGATCATTCACAGTTTACACCTTTTCCACAGACATTGAATTTGCTGGTCCTAAAATTGGGTCAAGGTAATGTCATAAGCAACATTTGTGTCAAGTATGAGCTTCTCCAATACAAAAGTATGAACCATACAAAAATGCACTGAGAATGATGAGGTGATATTCATTTCATAAATGGTTTAAACGTTACTCCCAAACATTGCAGGAGGTGTAATTTCTAAGTGAAGCAAGTTTGAAGGATTTTGAGCCAGGATAGAATACAAAAAGACTGCAATCATATGATTTACAATCGTTTAAAATGTTATTTATTTTGGCTGAGAAGGGTGTCAATTTAGGCATCTAGTGCAGTGTCTATAACAGAAATAAAACTTAAAATTTGTCACCTTAATATGACTTTATTAAGTTGGATCTTTATTACTAAAGATACAGATATTTGCCCATTGATGCATTTCTTTTTTCTTTAAAAAGATCACTTGATTCTTTAACCAGTATACAATCCACAAAGAATTTTTGAGCAACTCTCCAAAATACTTGCTTTGCTTCATGAATTATAACACAATGACACTTTGAAGTATTTTTTTCATTTATTATATGTATTTTGAAGGAAGTAACAGTTCAGGTTTGTGGGGCATTGTTTTTCTCAGCCTCGGCCTTCCTCTGTTGTTCTCGAGCCTGGAATCTGTCTACGATGTTTTTGATGTGGATGACTTCATCATCTCTCAGGGAGTGTCTGTATTCTAACATGATGTCGTTTTCCCGCCACGGTTTCTCGGAGAGAACTGCCCTCCGCTGTTGTCTCGCTGTCAGTCTGCGATCATTTCCGGTGATCCCCTTCAGATCTTTTCTTCTCTCCCATCTCTCCAGCCATGGGGGAGAATTCAATGGCACCTACAGTTGTAGAACACAAAATGTATTTTTTTTTAATGAAAAGATTAAAACAACAGGCATATCAAATGCGGAGAGAAGTAACTTTGACCATGCTTTTCTGCTTCAAATCAAGATTATTTTCTCTTTATTCCCATGAATATTTCCTACCCTATATTTCTGTGCCAGCCTATCTCCGGAATTCAAACTAAAGGTATAGCAATCAATTGTAAAAGACCTTGGTTTGAGGTTTAAGACAAATCTCCTTGAACCTTACAACAATTAAGTCTCAATTATTTTTTAAATCTAAAAGCATCATTTTTGTCACCGATTTGGCCAGTAGTCGGTTTGTAGGGAAAACAGATTGGTGATTTTTTTTATCACTGTTACATAACATTGACCCTAAATTCTGGCTCCTCAGGCTGATTTTGAATTGTAAATCCTTTTTAGCATAACAAAAGCACTAAATGCTATAGTTTGAAAAGATGTAAAGAATTCTTGCATATATGAAGCTTCTTTTCTTCAAGTTTTTTACTCTTACTATCAAAATATTAAACATTTAAACCATTAAAACATCACACCAAAGAATATTTATTAGGGTTCTCAGAATGTGTTGTCTAATAGAAAATATAATGATGTTTCAACATGTTCAAGTCTGTAAACTTTGTGCACATCTGGTTTTACAATTTACATGTTTATATAACAATATGCTACTGGGTGATTTGGTCAAAGAATATCATTCAAAACTCTTGTAACAAATCAGTTATCAATGATGGCTTACTCTGATATCATTAACTGGAACATCTTTCCCTTTGGGTGCCGGCACTTTCTCCATGTTTAAGGGGAACGTGGAATATTCATGAGGGCAGTCTCGCAGATAAAACAGCTCAGAGTCAAGTCGCTTTTCTGTCTTCAGACACTCTATACTGATAAGGTTAGGATTATACAGGTCATATTTAATTTCTATACCTAAAATTAGAATATAACATTTTTATGTTAGGAAAGCAATATTATGATATTCCAATTACATCTACCTATAAAATGTTTTAATTTTTATTCTGTTATTCTATGCTAAAGTATTGATTTTGAACAAGTGAAAAATGTTTTTATCTTGAAAGTAAAAATGTCTTGAAGACAGAAAATGTTTGTCTACATACATATAAATGACAAGATAAGTAAATTGCAGATAGTTCCCAATCTACAAACTTAAGATGTATCAGCGTACCTTGGCCGTAGATGACGTTT